GCTATTCATTTTGGTGAGCTCATTTCACAAACTAGATTCTGCTTCACTACAGTTTTATTCCTGTAATTTCCATTTTGTCGCTTTGTCACATAGATAATGAAAACCCATTCAGAAAGCATGGTGTATTCTGTGAAAAGACAGAAATCTGACTGGTGAGAGTAAAGACAGCCGTGCCGCACATCACTCCAAGAACCAGAATGAATACCGCCATATGTTGTTTCCTAGCGCTAGAGTTAATTAAACAATTTGCTCTCGTCTGATGAATAAGTTGACGATTTCGCACCATTTGTTATGTTGCAGCGTGCAATCTGTCTCTTCCCGATAATCAAATTTCCATTCAGTGTGGAGTCAAATAACAACATTAGCAGAGTGGAGAGAGAAAATAGTCTTCCTTGAGCAGTGTGTTTTGTATATTAGATATTTTAATTGTAAATAGAAGTAAGCGCTCGCCGCAATTTATTAATGTGGGAAGCTATGAATTATGAAAGCAAATTAAACTAAATTCATGCACAGAGAAACAACACAGTTCATAGTATATTAGTATCCCAGCAGAATATGCACATAACTCCTTGATTGGCCCCGAGGGATGTAATATCTATGCTTTAATTTCACATGGCAAGTAAGCATATCCTGTTACAAGCCATTACAAGCTTTTAATGCCTCACACTGTGCCTGGGATATGCTGCTACTTTATGCCCTTAAAACTAAAGATTTAACTATAATGGGACAATTTCTGATGTTTATTTTACAGGCAAAGTTGGTTTGGTGAAATTTACCCATTCAATTAGTACCATTTATTGGAAAAGAAAAAAAGAAAAAACGCCTATAAAAGCTTATTCCACAACAAGCATTGCAGAGATGGGAGGTAAATAAATGCCTTCTCCCTCTGGGGTTCACCATGTAATTAGCTATTTTTCATGATTTTATTTGTACTTCTTTAGCATCCTTTCTCCACCGTAGCTGCTGGGCAGCCATGTTAATTTTTTTCTGCTGGCTCTGTGCTTTTTTTATGTTGGTGCCAGGCAGACTTGCAGAGCAGCAAGTAACTGATGCCAGAGAAGCGTTGGTTCGTTTGTAAACCCACATTCATACGGAGTCCTGGACAAAAACGGCTAGTTCAAATATGAGAGTCCTTTAGTGAATAATATATTAGAGAAAAATGGAGGGGATTTAGAAAATCATCTGATCTATGCTTATTTAAAATGAACAAGCAGAAGAAGAGCTTTTTCTAAATAGTTGTGATATCCATCATTTCCTGTTCAGCAGCTGAAAAGTATTACTTGGAAAAACGACTATAATCATTCCTAAAATATTTCAAGAAGCCATAGAAAAGGAAAAGTCACAGGGATCTTTTTTTGGTGTTGGTGCCTTTCAGCTTCTTCAGACTTGAAATTGGATTTGAGTTCAAACTCCCGACTACAGAATCTGTCAATTGTTTCTTTTTCTTCCCTCAGGAGGCTTGTTTTCTAACTCTGGGTGACTCATTTTGCTCAGAAAAGCACTGGCAATCGTCAAGTTTGATATTTATTTTCGAAATTCAATTCCTCTAATACATGGCACTGTGAAGCAACAATGCAGCGTGGAGCTTATTATGAAGCTTTTCTGTATGCATTTTGTGTTACTGCTTACACAAAAACTAATGCGGAGCACTACTTTGGTTTTCTCTGTATAGCGCATAATCCTTGAGAAAATCATTCTGAAAGCCTTTGCAAACATTCATCAATTTTCTAATAAGAGTCTCTTTGGCTCATTGAGTTTCTCTAGGTTCATTAGATGCTTGTGTGTTTTTACAGCATCTGCACAAACCTTAATAGGCTTCAATTTTGTCAAAGCAGCATTTTCTAGGAGGTGTTCTCCACTTTTTGTGCATTAACTCTCCTCCAAATTGAAAAATTGTACATAAGTGTTAGTTAAAATGCTGACTTATTAGAATATGTATTCTCTTCCAAAACACTTGTTATATCTGCTAAGCACTGTGTAAGCACTTTAAACACTAATAATCCTAATTACATGTTGCATACATACACATACTGCTACACTAAAACACTCTACTTAATCTGAGATTAATTTAACTGTCTATGGATGAAGATTCACTCTAATTAATGTAATCTGTTTTCAGAATATGGACATAAAAGTTTGATTTTAAATCTATTTTTAGCCACTAGAGGCGCCATGGGACCTCGGGTGATGAATTCGTATTATGTGGCATTGAAACGCCTCAAGTGCTAACCAGTTGCTCTCAGTATGTGACTATCTGAAGTGTAGCTTCGGAACGTGTAAGTGTTGACTCTGTCAATACATAATCACTTGTCATCTGAAACTGAAAAACTTTATTGATATCTTGTTCATTTATTTCAAATCTTTTGGTCTCTAACCTCTTGTAGTTTTGTTTGTGTCAAAAGTTTTGGCATATCTAATAGAAAATCACCCACAAAGTGGCCATATGTTTGGATATTCACCATATCTGGTGAAATGCCTTTTCCAGGACCAGAGAGCTAATGTGGACCTGTCTGCACTTTTCCCGGTGCTAATCGACGAGCAACGAGTGTGTGTAGATGACGTATGTCATTCTGGTTCATGAATGCATATTGGTTAGACATAATGTTGACAACACGACCAAGATCCTACTTGATGATCCACTAATGGTGGGGTAGAGCTGGCAGGTTGATTGATAGTTGAGTCACTAAGGTTACCATTTTCCTTCCAGGGTAAGGAAGGAAAATGGTATACTCCTCAAGTCTGGAGTATGCTGCTACTCCTGACTTGAGGCAGAATATCTTCAACTATTCAGTTAAGAAACATATCTTGGATGCTTACTTTTTCCAAATATAGGCTGAGATATATTTATATTTCAACTTCCTGATTGCCTCAAAGACTTCTGCTCAACATATTGGAAGTTTAAGTCCAAGTTTAAGTCTGATTTTTATGTTCATGCTATGTTAAGTCCTGATCTGCTAAAGTTTAGCATCTTGCGAACTAACGTCTGTCCAGATATTGTGGACCAGCTTCGTCACTTAAATCTTAAAACTTTGGACTTGTTTGTTGATGTCAATTCAAAGTTTCTGTTCGTCTATTTTAATCTCATCAAGTGCAATGTCTGTTTTGTTTTTCTGTTTATTTCTTGTGCTCAGGGAGATTTCATCACCAAGCGCCAGAGTGTGTAAGACTTACAATCTTGAATGCCACCAAATGACTGAATCACTATATAATGGACTATAAGGTGATGGAGCAAACAACTTAAACATAACAAATTTCTTTCTGCAGAAGCAGTTATTTTATTTCGGCTCCTTAAACTGTTTAAACCATAAAAATAAAGTGAAATTAGTTTTCAAGTCGAAGCATGTTTTCGGGTTTATCACCGTCTAATAAATACAGCTATCAGTAGGGAAGGATGATGCTCGTTTGTGACAACCTCATTTCATATTCTCGCCAGTTGGGCATGCCTCAGATTTTGAGGTGTAATATAGCCCTGCCAAATCAGCAGTAGCCCCATTACTCATCCCCCTCTGCGCTGTCTCCTGGCTGGTGCTCCGGCACTAATGCAGATTACAGGGATATATGAGGGCTATTTTGTTCGCTGCAGGGTGGAAACGATCACCGGCAACCCCATCCCTCTCTGATGCACGACTCTACATCTGTTCCCCCCGCAAACGCCTATCTGGATATCCATCAGAGCCAAGCCCCTTATCAGATCTGAGGCGGCTGCATCTATTGCGCATCAATTATAGATGCTGTGTGTGAAAAATTGGGTCACTCTATCAACACTCTCCCTCGATCCATGGAGACATTGTTTAGTTAAGTGATTAGTGGCTTATCTTTACATACAGTTGCAGTTGTAAGTGTTAAATGGTCCGTTTATGATGCATGGTTACAGCAGCACAATTGCCTCAAGTGCGGAAAAACTATTTGCCACAGCAATTTTGGTATGATTTAATGTGGCTCCTTTTTCCACAGTTTAGATCAATTAATCAGATATTTACACAATGTTTGCTTTTGTGCCCTTAAGTGGCCTTTCTTTGACTCATCTGGACAGGAAGTTCACACAAGTGTGCTTGCGTCACAATCCATTAGAACCGTTTTGCTCTCCTCTCGCACCGACGCAGGTGGTGACAAATGAGCCACGCTGCATTCTTGCAACCCAAATTCATTTCCAACTTGCTCCCTGACGGAGAACAGACATATTATTCAAATTTCTAACCCATTCACTCTGAGTGGAACACGTCAAAAAACCTAAACGTTTTAATCTCCATGCAAGTCTCTCCTCATCTGTTACATAAATAGACCATTCATCATATTATTGGGCCTTTACAGCTTGACTGTTTGAGTGATCCGTTTCTCAAACGGCCCCCTCCCCCTGCAGCCCAATCAATCATTTTTCAATGAAGATGTCACAGCTCATTGTGTGGAGGGTTACCCCGAATGATTCCCAGAAGGTTTTTAGATGACAGAGTGAAAGCCGGAGCCATTTTGATCCAGCGGATGGTTTGAATAATTTGGCCAAAACACTGTTCCATTTTACTGCTGGCTTGTCAACAATTTTCACCTCAGTGGAGAGGTGGTAGCAGGTGCGGAAATCTCTGAGCATGCTTGCTATTAACTTTTCATTAGGCGCATTAAACTGCACGAGTCATCAACAAGTAGTTGCTGCTTGACATAATTGGTTTGTGGTTAATGTCTGTTTTGAAGCTGTGAGTGTCAGCGAGCTGCGAAAATCCCAGCGGGAGCTCTTTAAGACTTGAGATTTTCTAAGGAAGAAGCACTTTTTAAAGACAGACAGCCTTTAAAGACTGGCAGCCTAAACTGCAAGGCAACAATTTCTTCCAGGCTGTGCATTGTTATCCCAGCCACTCATAATGATCCTTAATTCAATAACCAACCCGCAGGATTGTCTCATTAAATAACCAGCTGCAGTGCAGTAATAAAGATTTCATTTCTCATCTTGAGTTCTCGCGCGTGCACGTCTCACCTCTCCACTCTTCTTTCTCTTTCCTCTGCTGCAGCCTCCATCAAGGAGTTGATGTCGAGACCTGTGACAGCTGGAGCCGGAGACATAACCTTCGAACACAAGTGTTTTCACCAAACACACTTCAGGGAAAGTACAGTGCTGTGCTGTAAGGCGCTAGCTTATTTCTTTATATTCTGTTTCTAGGAAGGAGTCAGGCTTTTTTGGGTGTTTAAGTTGGCTTCTTACTTTACTTTGGTTGTTTTTCACTAATCTCCAGCCCAATTCCTGACAATTTTCAGTAGAATCCCTTGTCGTTTAAGCCACACATCCCATTGGCTTGTGAAAACATGCATATTTTATCAACCTCTAAATCTAAGCCATTGCACAAAGTTGTGTTCATCTCTTGGAAGCGCAGTATAAACCACCTATTGTCTGGTTTACAGCTGTATAGTCTTCTAATGATATGCAAATATATAAATTTGTGACGCAAAGGGATGAAAGATTAATCAGTTACTGGGTTAATAATGATGAACTTCTGACCTTTTAAAAGAAGCGTAGTTTGGTTGAGGTTAATTTAGGATCAAATCAGTAAAATGCCTAATTAATAAACTTGGTAATTTGCATTTTAATTGAAAAGTTGTATCTCACATCGACATGTCACCAACATATCATATGCGCGGTCGCTTATTACGTCAATATGACTGATAGATTTATGCAACAAGTGGCATTTATTGTCAATCTGATCTTCTTTATTAACATATGCAGCTGATCCATCCAAATTACCGATATCTAAAACATGTGCTTATGAGTTGACTTTTTAAGCCTTTGAATATACTTTCCATTCTTCCGATTGTTCTTTTTTTCCTCTCAGTCTCGTTTTATTGATTTCTGTTCCATTTCCTCCCAAATATCCATTGAACTTGGTAAAATATGATGAACGTCACGTCATATTTCACAGGCCATGAAATCTTGCATATTTCATGGCCTGTATCATCAGCTGCAGTCTTTGCGGTCCTCATCGAAAGCTGCAGTGAGATTAATGAGATTTAATCTTTTACCTCATTGCCAATGCTTTATCTCATGAGGTCATTCACTGGTGCGTCAGCCCTCCTCCGCCTCCCTACCCTCACCGTACCTATGTTGCAAAATTAAACTTGAATTAGATCATTAGCATACAAAGCAGGAAACCCACTGCCGTGGAGTCATACATATTTATCTGGATGTGCCTGACTTGTGCATGCACACCCTCATACTGTAACCCCTTTTGCATGCAAACATCCCTGTTTCTCTTGCGCAGGAGACAAGCGAGCACAGACTATAAAATGGATATTAATTAGAGTAGGTTGGTTTTTAAGAAGCATAAATCTAACTGCGAACCGTCTGAGTAAATACAAGGATTTCATCCAAACGAGCTTTTGGAAACATGGCAGGTTGACTGCAAAATGTGTGCATTTGGAACCAGAGCAGATGGATTTTGATTAGGATCGTTTGGGCAGGTTGCTTTCAACGCATCAAATATTGCTTACACACAGAGGAAACGCGAAACGCCTGCAGTCCAAACTCATCTGCTGCACATTAACAAACAGAAAAAGACAAACAGGGAACACGGCCTTCTGAATAATCATGCGTTGCCTCATGAATGACTCCTTTTCTCTCTCTCCTTTCCCCCCTGTCCTTTCCACTAGAAATTAACTTTCTCCTTAACCACTCTCCATGCTTCCCGGGGATCACTTTCCAGCCTTCTTCTTCCTTCCAGCTGGGAGAACAACTCCCTCCTTTTGCAGCTATGTGGACTCCTCCATTAGTATTCCTTCCTCCTTCCCTCTTTCCCCTCCCTCCTGTGAGATTGCTGTTGTGTCTTATGGCTTTTTATTCCTACGTGATGGTAGATGGGTTCATGTAGGAGTAGAAGCCACTAAACACGCGGTGAGTGCTCGACATGCTGGCCAACACATGCAGAGAGCTTCCTGTGGCTATGACAGCTGCCATGTTCACATCAATGTCCTGCCCATTATCCCGAATGCACACAGGGTTTAAATATAGTTCGGGGACCTCACTGAGGAGCGGGGCTGTTTTTAGATCGGAGTTGCAGTCTGGTCCAAATTGGAGCGAAAACTATAGATTTGAATTATTTTCGGAAAAATCCACAGCTGAAAAATCAATTCTCGGTGCAGAATTGTCTTAACCGACCTACTTTCCCCAGCTGCATGCTGGTTGCTTGTGTCTCCAATTCAATATTAATTTCTTCACTTCCCTGCCCTGCGGTCCTCGATCAGAACTGCAGCTTGAAAGATCTTAAAACCACTTTCGAAATAAAATGACTCTCAGGTAGGTCACTCAATAATGTCTGAATATATTTGCCGTTTCCCTGTTAAGTTGTGCAGAAAAGGTTCATAGCCCTCTTTAACAGCACTAAAAGGTTTTCACACTGTTTGTAGCGCAACATATTACAGTCCATCCTTTAAGTTCTGGAAAGTAACCGTTCCATCACACACTTTTCCATTATTTACCAGGTATTTATTGGTTTCTAAGATACTTCTGAGTCGTAGCTTATCTGGTATTTTTCTTGAACTTAGAAGTTACTTTGCTGAATTTACCAGGTATAAACATGTAACTTTCATGGAGTCTAATAATAGTTTCAAAAATGTTCTCCAAAAACACTTGGTAAGCTCCAGACAGTGTGGAAAGTAACAAGTTCTGCAAAAGTACATCCTGTTATATAATAGAGCCACCAAATTGTGAAACTATTATTTCAAACTTTTTTGCTCCTCTATAAAGTATCTGTTCCATACCTCTGTAGTTTTAGAGCTGTTCAAGAGAACATTGTGATTTTTTTTTTCATTGTATCACTTTTGCATGGTTGACTGTGGACTCTATATAACGTATTTTTAATACGTCTGTAATGCTATTTGTATGTTTTACCCAGAATACGTTGAAAGGGACTTCAGATAGTGTTTCTAGTGGTTACAGTGTATAGTCTCTCTTTAAAAGGAAAATTATTAAAAAGGATCTTGCATGTAACGCAAAGTTTGATTAGTTTTAAATCACTCAGATCCACTAAAATCTTCCTTTCTCTCTAAAAATCTGAGCTCTTACATCTCTGATTGTCACTGAATGTACCTTTTTAATCAAATCTTTTTTTGTTACTGTCTCAAAGCTGAGTGATTGAAAACGTGCAAAATCACCATTTAAACTGTAATGTAGAAAAGTGGTTTCATTGATCCTATATGTTTGGCCATGTTAAAGTGTTGTGGCTAAAATACATTCGAGTCTGAGTGGACAAGACAACAGAAAAACTGCATTGTATTTCTTCACAAACCAAAAATGAGGATTGCAAAAGCTCTTGTGACCGAGATGCTTGTACCTTTAATGATGACAACACAGATGCAACAAAAGAGCTGTTTTTAAAATGCGCTGGCTGACTCATTGTGAATCACCTTGGCGCAGAAGTTGAACAGGGAGTTCCTTGAAAAAGCTCCAGTCTGAAGAGACCAGCAGGAGGCCAACTCGGTCTGTTTTGTTAGATCTGAAGGGACCACAGTCTGAAGTAGCAGATTTTATTGTAATTCACAGTAGTTTTCTTAGCGTTTGACATTTCACTCAAAATAGTAGGAGTTGTAACCTTGAAGCACCAGATTTTGAATGTTTTTCCAACCAGCTTTCCTGATAAGTTTCTCAATCCCTTTAAAACTTCAAGGCAGGAAACTTTGAATCAACTCGTAGCAACCCCCTTCATTTTCCTCCTAAATTATGTACAAATCCTGGCACCCTAATAATGGCGCGGCAGTAACTTTCGCCTGGGCTGAACTTGGTGTCAACTAATTAAGCAAGAAACTCAAATTATCCTGCTGGTGGGTTCATTCGTGTGCTGCAGGGTTTGGGTTTAAATGTCAACTCCCTGTTTGTGTTCGCCGCGAAATACGCTGCCAGCCTGCGCTCCTCGCACACAAGCTGAATAAAGTCTAAACAGGCAGAAACCAAGAGCTGAATTATTAATCCCTGGATATTACAAGAAGCTGACACATGTTTGCAGTTGTGGGACATTACTTCTTCGCTCATTTTAGATGCATGATAATTTGAGATGAAAACTAGATAAGTTCTGCCGAAGTTTAATGATTTCTTTTTAAGCTGTAAGATGTTGTGATCTAAAATTCAGAGGGGAGGCTTGACAAGTTTCTGTTGCCTGCATTATCTGTTTAATTTATTTTTCAGGTTCCCACTCCCACATAGGGCTTTTTATTCTTTTCTTTTTTTCCCCCCGCTTTATTGAGTCGTGAGGTGGTCTGAGAGAATATTTGAACAGAAGGAAGACATTAAAGAAGGCAGAGGAAGGCTTCGATTTTTAACCCTGTGGGGGTCCATGGGAATCTAAAGGTGGGAATCAACAGTGATGAAGTCTATGGGAAAGATCCTGCATTATTTACAGCAGCACAGGCTCATAAAGGGGAAGCTGTGTTTGAATAGATCGCTCCTGTCTTTTCGTCTCGCCCAAGGGTTCGCTTCACAGTTATGATCCAACCAGACTGCAAACCTCACATTCAAATGTCAAAATAAGACAGGCAGCACTTGGGCTCATTTTAATATTGACAGCTGTTCTTTTTTTTTTTTTTTTTTTCCAAATTACGGCTTTCGCGACTCCACGACTCATGATCAGATTCCGCAAGGTTGCCGATTCCTCAAGTTCAGGTGGAAACCATCAACTCTGGTGTAATGGGATTTTCCTCTGACAGATGCAATAATGCAGTGTGTTTGTGTACAGTAGGTTTAATGTACGAGTGGTGTTCTACTTTATCTCCACCCTGCTTCAGGCTCTGCTTTGATTTTTCTGTAATAAATAATGCTCTTTTGTCTTCTGTGCTGCATTTGTTCCCAGTTGTAATCTCTCTACTGCTCAATAAATTATGAATAATGCCAGTTCAACCTGCTGTATATCTCTTTTTTTTTCATTTGTCAGATGGTATAATTCTCTCCCCCCTTTTTTTTCTTCTAAAAGAACATGCACAGGAATCACAAACTCTTTCGTTGAGCAGTTTAACTCAAATCTCACTGGGTTGGGGGGAAAAGAAACACCAGAAGCAATCTGCTTTATGTGCACAGAATGTGAGCAGGAATGCAACAACACAAAGAATATTAAGAGTCTTCTTGCACATTTAGCCATGTTTCAGTATTACATGTAGGTACCAATAAAACTAATCTTGATTATTTGGATCCACTAAGTGAATATTTTTGCTGAAAGTCTTTTGAGACAACCAGGCTTATACATTCAGAGACTAACGTTCTTGTTTTTGTCTTTGCAAAATGACTCAATCTATCAAATTGGAAAGAATGCACCTGTGAAAGGAGTTTAGGTTTGAATTTACATTTTTATACAAAGTATATTTGTTTTGATCTGAACCTTCCCAATGGGTCTTTGTCCTGCTGGAAGGTGACCCCACCCAATTCTCGAGCCTTTGCAGCCGCTAATGGGTCTTCTTCCAGGATTTCTCTGGATTTAGCTTAATTTGACTCGATTTCTTCTGCAAAAAATAATCTCCACAGCATAAGAAGAAACGCTATATTTTGAAATACGGCAGAGGACAGAATGTGAGGTTAGGATGACATGCAGAACTAGTTTTTCTGCCGAAACGTTTTGCAAAATGACTAAAATATTCATTTTGAGTATCTGACCAGATTAAATTGTTGCATGGTAGATGCTATCTGACGCAACACACTCAAAGCACTTTCCTATTCGCCTAGCTGCGCTCTCGTCCATTAGACTCAAACACTGAAATACAAATCAGGAGGCGACTTGTGGTTGAGTGCCTTACCAAAGGGCAAAGGTCAACCCTCGGGACTTAAGCCCACAACTGATTGCAAGATGACTTCTCTTCCCACTGAGCCTCAGCCGTCCACTGCGGTTTGTGGCGAACATTGAGCTGCGCTTGTGATTTTTAACATTGCTTTCTTGCCGCTCATCTATAAAGGCCAGGATTGTGAAGATTTTAACTGAAGCCTGGTGAATACTGGGAGTTCAACAATAGCCTGAACATGTCGCACCGTGCAGCCTCCATATGATACAATCTTGATAACTTTTGTCACACTGTACAATAAAACTCAATATGTCATTGCTGCTGAATTGTATCAGAAAGGCCCGACAGACATCGGTCCAATGATCGAAGGACGACCAGTTAAAGGAGTGATCACACTGAAACTGGAAAAAGAGAGGAGGGAGAAGAGACATCTGTTGAAGAGCTAATAACTTTGAAATGGAAGATAATCAGAAATCTGTCGCAGCAGCCGTCGCCCTACGTGACTTTTCATTAAAATTTCAGGCTCCGCTTGATATTTGTTCTGGACTGATTTGGTGAGAAGAATAATCTCATAAGAAAGGTCTAACGATTCATTTACAAACGATTTTGACAAGAAAAGCCAATCATCACAGCTTTGCTGAGCTATTATTCTGGTTTAATAGTTGTCCTCTCATCAGGATCTCCACCCTGAGCCGTCGATCTCTGCAGCTCACCCAGAGCTACTTTAAATCTCCCTGATTAAAACTCTCCTTGCCTGATGGTTGGGTTTTATTGGATGTTTATGCAGAGATATCAGACTGAAGGAGGCTGAATACAAATGGGTTTAAGACTTTAAATTTGAAATTGCAAAAAAGAAAAGTTAAATGGCTTAGGGTTGCATTTGAAAAGAGACTGTTGATCATTATTGTGTAAATTTAGTTTCTTTGCCTCTTATTAGGGTTCCCAGTCTTGTGTTTAACTTTTTTCTTTAGTCGAGTTCAGAGAATAAACTGAATGAAGCTCTTCCTCTAAAGCTTAGAGTAAAGTTACAGAGTAGCTTGATATAAATTACTATCCCATGTATAGTATTTTATACTATACATGGAATACTGCGAATAAAAGATTCTTTTATTCGCAGAATCTGACTAGAAAGCTTTCGCATCAAGTCACATTAGATGTTTATTTCAAGACAATCAGATTAAAGGAATTTATTTCAAAAGTTTATTTTCTTTATCTGAACTTGGGGAGTTTCATTTTTGTAGGGAAATCTGTGAAATTCTGAAAAGCTGCCTAATTATGTAGACTCATCCTTCACATCAGTTCCACATCACAGGACACATCTGTGTCAATATTTGACAGACTTTGTCTTTTAATTACATATTCCCTTTTGTGCACTCTCCCAAATTTCAGGCATTATCTCATTACCGCTTGCGTGCCAACAAACCTCTTTGCACTTCCTCTAATTGGAATGAGGAGCGGTGCCAGTGTTTGTAGAGGAGAGGAGAGGCATGTCGCTGGAAATTTGTGAGCGGAGAAGACACAAAACGTGTAAGGGCAGCCTGTGGATTTCCTCTGATTTCATCAGTAAAGAAAAAAAAAGAAAGACGTGTGAGGCGATCCCCAAGACAACAGGCAGCTGGTGCATGTAGGCGAGCTTCGCCGTCCAAAATCTCTGAGAGAAGAAAGTGAAAGAGTCTTCTGAAAGCTCTGCAAGTCATCCTTGGCTTTAGAGTTAACTCCATCTTTCAGCTTGACTGCCGTGAGTCATCTGTGCACGGTTACGGGGGTGCTGCAAGCATAGCGTCCTTATTTTGTAATGCACTGATGGTATGTAGCAATATTCAATTCAAATAATTGCGTTTAGACATTATTTGCTTCATGGTGTCCACTTGAAAATACTTTTGAATGCATCAGAAACATCAAACAGCCCACCAGATGGGTCAGGGAGCAAAACTAAAAGCGGAGAGAAGTTATAAAACGATATGCAGAGCATTATTCGGTCCATCGGCTGCAAATCTACCAAAACATTGCCGTCTACGTAATCTTACGGGCTGGAAAAGGAAGCAAACCAAGAGGTTCATAGTAAATCTGGAGGAGCTGGATCAGGTACTGTAAACATTGGCTGTGTTTTGTTTTGTTTGGTTTTGGAAAAACTTTAGTTTCACTCTTTAGTTTTCTTCTTTCCAAAATCGAGCCTTGTCAGTATTTGTGCACTAAGCTGCCCTTTGTTGTAAATTGGTGAAAAGAAAGCAACAAGATCTGCTTGTGGGTTGCATATTTTTGCAAGATAAAGCTTCTAGGGTTTATTTTTGTGATTTCAAGTCATATCTGCAAAGTCAGGCTCATCTGGACTCCAGTAAACTGTGATGCGTAGTTAACGCTTTCTTTATGCTCTCTCCAGCTTCTTTGAACTTGGTTGGTAGATTATCACTAAACAGATTATTTCATTGGACACGACGCATGTCTGCTGCTGCCGGAGAAGTCCGACTCAAAGAGGATGAAAAAAGGAAGGGCAGAGTCAGCTGGAGTTCTTGTTTTGCAGCCTCTAATTTACAAAAGTTGTGCCTTTTAAAGGTCTACATGACATTTTGGAAATGATCTTCTCACAGCGTGACCTGCCGAGATCTCATTGTGACAACGACGTGCTGAGTTCCACAGATTCCCTCCCCACACATACACACACACACACTACATCTCGCTGGAGCCCATCACGATGAGACGACCACTGTTTGAGTCCACTTAATGAGAGTGTAGAGTCAGCGCTCTGGCTGCAATTACAGTGTTTAGGACTCTTTAATGATATGTTAATGGCTTGGCTGTATTACCTCTCAGCTGCCCAAACAACATTAAATACCCCGCGGCTGATTAATCCTGCCTTCACAAAAACATCCAGTTAGAAGGAAAATGTTGAAATCTAGATCTGCCAGCAAGTTTTTTGGGGGGCCAAAAAGTACAGAAGCACAAAATGAAGCATGACGAGGTTTACTAAAAAAAATACAGTTAAAGATAATAAATGAAGTTTGTAAATGTACCTTCTAATATCTTAAACGTCCACTCAGGGATGTGATGCTGAAACACACAGCTCTTTCTTCATCAACGCTCGGCGTTATAAAGGTTAAATCGGCGGCCCCTCGGTTTTATAATGCTCTAGTTGTTGCTCACCGCACCGGCAGCGTCTGCCCCGAAATCAGAGGAATCCTGTCAAAACATCTCAAACAACTTTAATTATGTAGTTTTTCTTGTTTATCTGCTGAATAAAAAAAAACCACAAGAAGGATCTTGACGCAGCGCTCTAGTCGAAGTGAACAGTTTGTTTTAAATGTTATCCTCAAATGTGAGCCAGACCCTTTAGTAAACACTGAAATTGCCTGTTAATTTAGCACCAACTCATGAACTTCAAATCCAATTCCTTCTTTGATTTGCAGCAAACTTTTCTTTCCAAGTTTACACTGTCCACATTGACCACCCGCTTTACCTTGATTAGAAATGCAAATAAGCAACGGAAAATTGGAATCAGTGCAATTGAGAGGGGGAAAAAAAGTAATCTGGCATCCTCCCGGCTGTGGCTGACTGGAGGAAGAATAATATTCAGAAGGATGTTCAGGAAACGGAAAATGTTCTCCTCCTACAAACTCTGTTGAGAAGGGTGAATATTCACAACACTGATATGTTAAATGCTCAACCATACATCCCTTGAATTAGAATTTCTAATCATTGGTGTCTGCGTGGACGATAAGGATGGCCATTGCGTGCACAAGATAAACAAACATTGTGACGAACAGGAGGCGTTTCAGTTCAGCGAGCCATAAGAAGCTTAACTTATACGTTTTGAATTTATGTTTAATGTCGTTACGCGCCATTTGCCTCCTGATGAGGCAACCGGTGCCCAGGCAGGCGTTTTGGTCGACCACCGTTTCAAACTGCTCATTATCCGGGTCATACCCGTCAACAGTGCCCGACTCCCACTTTGATAATTATGAAAACAAATAAAGTCAGTGATTCTGCAGATGTTCTGCCATCCTCTCCCATGCGCTTCCCTCAATGTCTGCTTCCTTTACAGCTGTTTCTCATTAGTGAATCACCTTGCCTGCCTTCTATCCAGCAATCTCCCTCCTCTGTATATATACCCCCATGTTTCTCCTGCTGCCTGTC